TGCCATGGTGTGAAGGCTTTTATGGATGAAAGCACTTCAAAACCCCAGGAAGAAAGAAGTTATATTAATCCAAAGTTGTAGCAGTATCCAATATTATTATTATTGCTGTTGTTCAAACAATTGGATTGTTTTAGTTAATTTTATACAGATTTTTTGCTACCCCTCCCCTAGAATCTAGGCTGACCAGGTGACTTGCATGACTTATAAAATACTGCAGAAGTGAGGTACCTGAAGCTAAGTCATAAGAAGCCTTGCAGCTTCCACCTGAGTCTCTCAGAACCCTCTCTCTGAACACCCTGAGCTGTCATGTGACAAGTCCAAATTTAGAACTTAACAACAAAATTACCAAATTTTAAAAATGGGCAAAGGACTTAAACATTTCTCTAAAGAATGTATACAAACGGTCAACAAGTACAGAAAAAAATGCTCAACATCTCTAATCATTAGGAAAATGCATATAAAACCACAAATGCATATCAAAACCACTTCACATCCATTAGGATGATTGTTGTCCAAAACACAGAAAATAAAAAATGTTGGTGAAGATGTGTAGAAATTGGAATGCTCATGCGTTGCTGGTGGGAATGTAAAACTGTACAGCTGCACCCTGGCCGGTTTGGCTCAGCGATTAGAGCATCCGCCGGCGGACCAGAGTCCCAGGTTCAGTTCCTGCTGAGGGCACATACCTCAGTTGCAGTTTGTCCCTGGCCCCAGTTGGAGTCATGTGGGTGGCAGCCACTCGATGTGTCTCTCTCACATTGATGTTTCTCTCTCTCTCTCTTCCTCCCTCTCTCCCTCCCGCTTTATCTGAAGATAAATGCAAAAATGTCCTCAAGTGAGGATAAAAAAAAAAGCTGTACAGCCCTGGCCGGTTTGGCTCAGTGGTTAGAGCGTTGGCCTATGGTCCAGAGAGACCTGGGTTCGGTTCCCACTAAGGGCACGTACCTCGGTTGCAGTTTGTCCGGGCCCTGGTTTGATCATGCAGGTGGCAGCCACTCGATGTGTCCCTTTCACGTTGATGTTTCTCTCTTCCTCCCTCCCACTCTATCTGATCAAAAAAATGGAAAGATGTCCTTGGGTGAGGATTTAAAAAATAAAATAATAAAAAAACCTTTTAAAAAAGCTGTACAGCTGCTATGAAAAATGTTTTGGTGGCTTTTCAAAAACCTAAACAGAATTATTACATGATCCAGCATTCCATACCCCAAAAAGTTGAAATCAAGGACTGAAACAGATATTTGTGCATTCATATTTATAGCAGCATTATTCACAATTGCCAAAAAGTGGAGGAGGAGCAGAGGAAGTCGTCCTAGTCCTAATACCTTGATACCATCACTGGAGTAGCCCTATGTAGGCAAGTGCTCTGGTTGGTAGACCCAGCCAATCCTGACCTTTCAACCATCCCTGCAGGAGCCCTCCCAAGTGATTCTCTGAGTGACCTCAAGCAATGTCACCTGGAACTGAGGGATTACCCATCTGAGCCCTGCCCTGATTCTCAAAATTATAGACAGAATAGTTGCTGTTTTACACTGCCAAGTTTCAGGATAATCTGTTACTCAGTGATAGATAACCAGAACATGCACCTTCTACTTTCTGTAAGTGAATTAACCTGGTAGTTTCCATGGTGGAACTAGAAGAATGGTATTGGTAAAAATACCACTCAGTCAAGTCTTAGGAGGTTTGGAGAAATATGTGGATGGTGTACAACACTGGTCCCCCTTACCTAGGGTAGAGGCAGCAGCAGTTTGCCTTAAACATTGTATCCTAGGTTGCTGGTAGACATCCTTTACAGACAAAGGCCAATTCAGTCATAAACATAAAACATTTCAGACTGACTAAATTTTGTTTCCATTCAAAACAAGGTTTCTTTTGCCCTGGCTGGTGTGACTCAGTTAGTTGAGCATCAGTCTGTGCACCAAAAGGTCATAAGTTTAATTCCCTCCAAGTCAGGACATGTGCCCAGATTGCAGGTTCAGTCCCCAGACAGGGTACGTACAAGAGGCAACTAATTGATGTTTCTCTCATTGATGTTTTTTCTCTGTCTCTCTCCCTTCTTCTCTCTAAAATCAATAAAAACATTTTTCTTTAAAAAAAAAAAAGTTTTCTTTGCCTGGCTGGTGTGGCTCACTGGTTGAGCATCAACCCAATGCACCAAGAGGTTGCCAGTTTAATTCCCAGTCAGGGCACATGCCAGGTTGTGGGCCAGCTCCCCAGTGGGTGCATGAAGGAGGTGACCAATCAATGTTCTCTCTCATCAATATTTCTATCTCTCTCTCCCTCTTCCTACCTCTGTCTCTAAAATCAATTTAAAAAATATATTTTTAAAAATAAAAATAAAATGTTTTTTTTATTAAGTCCCATGCAGGAAGCAGAATGTCATTAAAAGTAAGATTATTCCTTTTACTAAAATGACAATGAGGAAAGTGATACTATTTTTCCACACAATTACGAAAGCCACTTTCTAATCTTTTATCCTGAAATTGTATGGTGAACAGGCTTCACTGTGCCTTTGAACTAAGGGCTGCTTCTCAGTGCCCCAGTGGAGAGAGGTGTCTCCATTTGAGGCGAAAATGAGTAAGTACTACTGATAGTCTATGATTGGTGTGTTATAACAGATGCCAGGAGACCTGAGTTCTTTGTTCATTTTCACCCCCCATGTAATGTGGGCTTTACATATAACCTCTCTGGAAGTCATTTTCCTCGTCCACAAAAAGAGAATACTTTGTTTGTACACTGCAATCAGCAACCTAAGACATGATACTCAAAATACTGATGCCCAGGCTGCACCCAAGATCAATTACATCAGAATCTTTGTGGGTAGCACTCTGTCCTCAGGATTTTTTTAAACTCCCCAATACTTTCCAATAAAAAATCAAGGTTGAGAACCACTAAAATAGAGAAATGAAGCACAGAAAAATCTTTGAAATTTCCATCCAGCTCCAAAAACTATATAACCTAGCTATTTTTCCATGCACCAGAAAAGGGCAGACTTCTCTTCGTGCCTAGTGCAGCAATGGCTCTGGGTCCCAACAAGCACCTGCAATGTGTAGCAGCTCCAAAGCACTGACTGCTGGATAAACTGACCGGTGTGTGTGTTCTTTGTCCACTTACTAGTTTCTATAAGCTGAAAGAATGTCTTCCTCTCACCATTTTCCTAAGGAATAGACTTAAGTATGTCCTAACAGGAGATAAAGTAAACTACATACAACAAGATTTATGACAAGGTCCAAAATGATATAACCTACCCTGCTGGTTTTATGGACCTCATAAGCATTGACAAGACTATAGAAAATTTCCATCTAATATATGACATGCTAGGGGTGCCTTGGCTATTTATTTTACACCTAAGGAGGCCAAGTACACATTGTGCAAAGTGAGAAAGATCTTTGTGAGCACAAAAGGAGACCCTTATCTGGTGACTCCTGATATTCACACCATCTGCTACTCATCAGGGTGAACAACACTATCCAGATTAAGCTGGAGACTGACATGATTACCAACTTCATCAATTTTGACACTGGTAACCTGTATATGGTACCCAGAGGTGCTAATCTGGGAAGAACTGGTATAACTGCCAACAGGAAGAGACACGCTGGTTCTTTTGATGTGGTTCATGTGAAAGATGCCTATGGCAACAGCTTTGCCATCTGGTTTTTCAGCATTTTTGTTATTGGTAAAAGCAACAAGACATGGATTTCTCTTCCTTGAGGAAAAGATATCCACGTCACCATTGCTAAAGAGAGAGACAAAAGACTGGTGGCCAAACAGAGCAGTGGGTTAACTGATCTCTAGGTGACATGATTGGAAGATGCTTTGTGTTTAATTAAAGATAATACAGAATGAATGAATGAATGAATGAATGAAATATTGTATAACCTAATAGCCCAAAACATTGTCATTTCTTTTTTTTTATCCTCACCCGAGGACACTTTTCCATTTTTTGTTCAGGTAGAGCGGGAGGGAGAGAGAGGAACAGAGAGAGAGAGAGAAACATCGACGTGAAGGGACACATCAAGTGGCTGCCACCCGCACGACCAACCAGGGCCGGGGACAAACTGCAACCGAGGTACATGCCCTTAGCGGGAACCGAACCCGGGTCTCTCAGGACCGCAGGCCGACACTCTAACCGCTGAGCCAAACCGGCCAGGGCTGTCATTTCTTTAATAAATATTTATCATATACTATTTTCTAAGCATTCTGCTTGACATTAGAGACACCAAAAGGAGTTCATCATTCTAGATAAAGGGGGGTGGGTGGAAGAAGCATCAGAAAGAAATACAGTATTCTGTCTCAACTCAGGGGAAGAAATTGGGTGGTCAGTTCTCCTTGGAAGAGGGGAAAGAAATTGAAAGAGGAAATAACTTGAGTCCCGTCTTCAAGCGTAATTTGGCACTTAATAACGGAAAGGTAAAGGTCGTGGAGAGTAAACAAAAAGACATCTCTAGTTGTCTAGCACCCTGGTGTCTAACATAAAGTTATAGATATAATTAAGTTGGAACCTCAGTTTGGTTAATTCTGTGACATCAGTATGAACAAGTCCAAAAGAGGCTTGGCTTATGAAAAAAGAAATGGTTCAAAAGGGCAGTGATAATACAACTAAAACAACAGTTACCATGGGCCAGCACTGTGCTGGGGACATGATATTCGTGAGTTCAGTGATTTCTGATTATATAAACAAGCTGCCTTGGAAAATTCAAGGACTGTAATGTGGCAAATCATTTGGATTTGTTCTATGTGGTCCTGAGTTAGAATTAGTATTAATGAGTGGAAGCCCTATGGCTTCCAGAGAGACTATACTAAGATGAACCAAATGACTGCTGGACAAAGTAAGTTTCTCACTTTTTAACACTTAATACTTTCTTTTATAATAGACAGTTTTTACCCCAAACTATTTTATTTATTTAATTTTTTTATTAATTTATTTTTTTATTTTTGTTACAGATGTTTCTCCTTTTTCCCCCATTGACACTCTCCTCCTACCCCTAACTTTAAAGACTAAGAACAAGAGGCAAATGCAAAATTTTAAGAATTCTGAATCTGGACTGGCCAGTTTGGCTCAGCAATTAGAGCGTCAGCCTGCGGTCCGGAGAGACCCGGGTTCGGTTCCCGCTAAGGGTATGTACCTCGGTTACAGTTTGTCCCTGGCCCTGGTTGGGTTGTGCGGGTGGCAACCACTCGATGTGTCCCTTTCACATCAATGTTTCCCTCTCTCTCTCTCTCTCCCACTCTATCTGAACAAAAAATGGAAAAATGTCCTTGGGCGAGGATAAAAAAAGAAAGAAAGAATTCTGATTCTTGAGGAGTTTATTATTCCTCTCACCCACAGATACATTTCTATTTTCTACAAGGCCAACACATGAAAAAAATATAGGGAGATAGAAGCTCTTGACTCATAGGTGAACTACAACCTTAAGCAGCTCAAGCATGTTGAGTTTTATTGGGATGTGCACAATAATACCTAAGGGGTTCTTCACAAGATTCTGAGGCAAAAGTGGTACTTGAAGCTTCCACAGGGAGGCACAGCTTACTCAAGGGTCATAGTCTCCTTTTCTGGCTGTAGAGTTAGACTGGTGCCCAAGCTGCCAGTTCTAGCTGGCAGTCCCTTGCCTTGGCGGTTCTTGTCCCCTGGCACTCGTCTGTCGATCTACCTACCCACTTGCTTTTTACTCTGAGCCCTTTGCTTTGACAGATGGTTTGAACTTCAAATTACAAATAATTTTCTCTCTGGGTACAATCTCAGCCCCTAACTTATGTTTAACATTTTAAGTAATAGCCGGCTGTTCATCATCTTAAGCAATTTATAGATTTAAACCTGCACTGTGTATGTGTAAATGAATACATGTGTGTTCTAATACAAATAACTTCCTGCTTTATTATGTTCACATATAACATCCTGAAACAGAGGAGGGTAGAAAAGATGAAGCCTTCAGTGAGCTGAGTATTCCCCCCACCCCTGTCACCATTACACTATATGTGAAGAACTCCATAATCCTACAATTTACAGAAATGTTGAAGAAGGAACTCCAAATGTCAGGTGGGTAATTGGATTAGGTTACCTGGAAATGTTCTCCCATGTCTAAGAATCTGTAACTCTCTGATAATTAACTTGAGTTGAGAATCAGCCTTGAAATGGGACTACTTCCCATATCTGTCTTTCAGTCACAAGGTATGAGTCATCGTGGCTGGATTACTGAGACTGGTGAGGTGAGGGGAACGGGAGAATCAGAGCACACATGAGGTCAGTGATTGACTGTTGGTTACAGCCAAGAGTACAAAAATTAATAAGGCATGGTCCTATGCTCAGAAAGTTCATTGTCCAGTGAGGGAAATAGAACCATTCTAGACCATTTTGGAACAACATAGCAAATTAAAGTAATTTTTAAAAATGTGTACAAGTTGTCATGGGACCACAGAGGAAGGCCACCATGCCTATCTGGAAATCATCTGAAGGAAGTGATTGCTAAAATGGCTTTTAAAATAAAAGTGGATTTACACTGGCATGTAAAGGGAGATATCAGCATTCTGGCATTGTGTTGTGTACAAAGTGGGAAATTCTGCTTTGGGACAGACATCTTAAGCAAAAGAGTGACATGGTCAAATATGTCTTTCCGATAACTCTCTCTGACTTGGCTTTGTAGAAAACTGATTTGAGGACAGAAGACAGAGTAGTTAGGAGACTGCTATAGTAATCTGGAAAGAAAATGATAGGGTCCTGAACCTGGGGTATTACTAATTAGGGGGGGAAATAAAGTTGAGAAATATTATATGGTGAAATTGGAGGGCTCACCGGTCGGTTGGTCACAATGGATGTTAAGGAGGGATCAGGAAAACTTCCAAGTATCTATCTAGAGTGTCACTTCCCCAGTGAGGCCTTTCCTGGAACCCTTTTAAAATTAGAACATCAGCCCTGGCCGATTTGGCTCAGCGGTTAGAGCGTTGGCCTGCGGTCCTGAGAGACCCGGGTTCGGTTCCCGCTAAGGGCACGTGCCTTGGTTGCAGTTTGTCCCCGGCCCTGGTTGGTTGTGTGGGTGGCAGCCACTCGATGTGTCCCTTCACATCGATGTTTCTCTCTCTCTCTCTCTTCCTCTCTCTCCCTCCCGCTCTATCTGAACAAAAAATGGAAAAATGTCCTCGGGTGAGGATTAAAAAAATAAAAATAAAATAAAATTAGAACATCATCCTTGCCAGCATTCTCTATCTCCTTCCCCCCTACATCTTTCTCTATATATTTTATAACATTTTTTTTATTATTCCATTGCTGTCTGTTTCTCCCCACTAGAATATATGAGGTTCTTCAGGGCAGGGATTTTCGTCTCTCTTCCTCACTGCAGTATCTCCAATATTGGTATTAGTGCCTGGAACCTCCTATGTGTTCAATAAGTATCTAATGAATGAATGAATTCATGATAGTGGTGCTGAGAAACTAAGAACAAAAATATAGGAAGAGACCCTGGCTGGTTTGGTTCAGCGGTTAGAGCGTCGGACCGTGGACCAGAGTTTTCTCGGGTTCGGTTCCCGCTGAGGGCATGTACCTCGGTCGCGGTTTGTCCTCGGCCCCAAGTGTGGGTGGCAGCCACTCAATGTGTCTCTCTCATGTCGATGTTTCTCTCTCTCTCTTCCTCCCTCTCTCCCTCCCACTCTATCTGAAAGATAAATGCAAAAAAAAAAAAAAGTGTCCTCAGGTGAGGATAAAAAATTTTTTTAAAAAAAGAATATAGAAGAATATAGGAAGAGTAAATATTCTATAGAAAAAGATGTCAAATTTACTTTGGGACTTTCTGGACCACTCCTGGGAAGGCTCAGTGGGAAGATAAAGCTATGCAGAGTTTCAGAATGTTAGATCTGGCAGATGCCCCAGAGACTATGCTCTATACAGTTCCTTCATTTGGGAAAGAAAAAAACAATTCCAAAAAAGTGCCTTGCACATGGCAAGACAAACACTAGCTAGATATTAGCACAGCTGAGCTGAACTTCCAGGCCTCCTAGTCCCAGCTCCATGCCTTTAGTGTTTATGCCTCACACTGTCTGCTTTCTGCTAATCCAAGAAAAGGCTAAAAATCACTTGCCTTTGACTTTCAGCTAACTAAATTGTTAAATGACTGTTTTTACAGGGTTTACTTGACCGATTTGTTGAGAAAAGAAAAAAAAATTTTAACAATTATTTTTCTTTATTGAATTTTTAGAGAGAGAGGAAGGGAGAGGGAGAGAGAGAGAGAAACATCGATGAGAGAGAATATCCATTGGCTGCCTCCCACATGCCCCCAACTGGGGATCAGGCCCACAACCTGGGCACGTGCCCTGACTGGGAATCAAACCAGCGACCTCGTGGTGCATGGGTCGATGCTCAACCACTGAGACACACCAGCCAGGCAAGGGAAGAAAACTTTTGAGCACAAACAAAATATAGAAAATTTAATCATGGAGAACTCTTCACAACTGAGGCTGCCTTAGCAGCTGTACTAGAACAATAGACATCTCTGTCTCTGATCCTATGCCTTACAGTAAGCAAGAAGTTAGCTAAAACATTCATGATTTCATTTTTATTTGATATTTTAAATAGAAATATTTACACATGGTAAAATGTACAGATGTTAAGGGCACAGGTCAGTGAATTTGCCCTTCTCAGTGAAAGTCCCCTCCCACAGACATCATAATTCTTTGTTTTTTTTAACTTATCTTTATTGTTGAATGTCCTCCCTTTTTTTCCCCCATTGACCCCCTCCTTCCCAAACCCGCCCCCCACACACACACCTTCCCCATACTATTTTCTGTGTCCATTGGTTATATATATATGCATCGAAGTTCTTTGGTTTATCTCATCCCACCCTCCCCCCTTCCCTTTGAGGTCCATCAGTCTAACAACAAATTTGTATTTCTTAATTCCTTCATCTTTTTCACCCATCCCCACAGTGCCCTCCCATCTGGCAAACAACAAAAAGTTCTCTGTATCTATGAGTCTGTTCCTGTTCTGCTTGCTCATTTTGTTTGTAGATTCAATTGTTGATAGATATGTATTTATTGACATTTTATTGTTCATATTTTTGTTCTTCTCGTTCAAGAAGACCCTTCAACATTTCATATAATACTGGTTTGGTGGTGATGAACTGCTTTAGCTTTTTCTTGTCTGGGAAACTCTTGATATGTCCATCGATTCTAAATGATAGCTTTGCAGGATAGAGTAATCTTGGTTGTAGGTCATTGCTTTTCATCACCTTGGATATTTCTTGTCACTCCTTTCTGGCCTGCAAAGTTTCTTTTGAGAAATCAGCTGACAGTCTTATAGGAGCACCTTTGTAGGTAACAAACTGCTTTTCTCTTGCTGCTTTTAAGATTATCTCTTTGTCTTTAACCTTTGGCATTTTGATGATGTATCTTGGTGTGGACCTCTTTGGGTTTTCTTGTTTGTGACTATGTGCTTCCTGGACTTGTATGTCTGTTTCCTTCACCGAGTTAGGGAAGTTTTCTGTCATTTTTTTTTTCACATAGGTTTTCAATTTCTTTCTCTCTCTCTTCTTCTGGCACCCCCATGATGCTAATGTTGGCACGCTTAAAGTTGTCCCAGAGGCTCCTTATACTATCCTCATTATTTTTTATTCTTTTTTCTTTTTGCTGTTCTGATTGAGTGTTTTTTGCTTCCTTATATTCCAAATTGATGATTTGCTTCTTGGCTTTACCTACTCTACTATTGATTCTCTGTAAATTATTCTTTTTTTCTACTTTTTTTTTTTTTTTTTTTTTATCCTCACCCGAGGATATTTTCCTTTTTTTTTTTGTACAGATAGAGTGGGAGGGAGAGAGAGAGGAAGGGAGAGAGAGAGAGAGAAACATCGACGTGAAGGGACACATCGAGTGGCTGCCACCCGCACGACCAACCAGGACCGGGGACAAACTGCAACCGAAGTACGTGCCCTTAGCGGGAACCGAACCCGGGTCTCTCGGGACCGCAGGCCAACGCTCTAACCGCTGAGCCAAACCGGCCAGGGCTTTTTCTACTTCTTTATTGATTTTTAGAGAGAGAGGAAGGGAGAGAGAGAGAGAACATTAATTGGCTGCCCCCCGCATGGCCCACTGAGAATCAGGCCCACAACCTGGGCATGTGCCCCGAACCAGGAATCAAACCAGCGCCCTCTTGAAGCAGGGGTCAATGCTGAACCACTGAGCCACACTGGCCAGGCTGCAAATTATTCTTTATTTCAGTTAGTGCATCCTTCATTTCTGACTGGTCATTTTTTATGTTGTTGATGTCCTCATTAAGTTCCTTGGAGTTCTTACTAAGTTCCTTGAGCATCCTTATAACCAGTGTTTTGAACTCTGCATCTGATTGATTGCTTATCTCCATTTTGTTTAGTTCTTTCCTGGAGTTTTGTTTTTTTCTTTCATTTGGGACATGTTTCTTTGTCTCTTCATTTCTATTCACCATATGTGGGTATGGGACCAGCCCGTCCATGCCACCTATGCTGCCACCTTGACCAGAAGTCCCAGGCACTACAATTCTCACCTCTATCACCATTGATCAGCTTCACCAGTTAGAGCACTTCATAAAAAAGATAACATGTAGTATAGATTTTTCTGTGTCTCACTCCTTTTGCTAATGACTTTTAGCATCATGTCTGTGAGATTCAGCCATATTGTTGCTGTTATTAGTAGTTTTTTCCTTCATATTGCTGAGTAGTATTCCATTGTATGAATATACTACAAGTTGTTTATCCATTCTTTTACTAACAGATATTGGGGTTAGTTCTAATTTCTGTCTATTGTGAATAAAGCTGCTATAAACATTCTTATTAAATCTACTTATAGAAATATGTTTTCATACCTGTTAGGTAAATACCTACAAGTGAGATGACTAGGTCATAGGATAGTTACATGTTTAACTTTATAAAAAACTGCCAAATAGTTTTCCAAGGTGGTTTTAAGATTTTATACTCCCACCAAACAAGATTTCATTTCCAATTGCTTCAGATCCTCACCAATAAAGGTGTTGTCAAACCTTTTCATTTAGCCACAATATATTTTTTATATCTACTAACACTTTGGAATATTCGATTATTATGGAGAATTTCATATATTTTTTAAAATTCTCACCAGAGGATATTTTTCCATTGATTTTTAGAAAGAGTGAAAGGGAGGGATGGGGGAGAGAGAGAAACAAACAGACAGACAGACAGACAGACAGACAGACAGACATTGATGTGAGGGAGACACATCAATTGGTTGCCTCATGAATGAGCCCCAACCAGGG